GCAAATTCAAACTGGATGACCAGAGACGGTAACATTTATCATGTAGGTACTTATCTTACAATATTTAACCGTCTGTGTTTTAATTTCGACAATTAGAAATAATATTTCTAGCCTGCACAGTGTTGCAGGTTTCATGAAGTGGCAAACATTATTTTCCGTTATGCTAATACATACTGTACAAAATCTGGAGTATTTGTTTATATTTACATGCGCAGCTGCTGATGTAATTCTGCTGACGTATGTGTGTGATTTTTACAACTGCTGATCTACGTTCAGTGCAAGCAACGAGGCGATTTTGCTTGAAATGTGGAACCGCGAGACTTCCTAAAGTTTTATGTGGTTTTTGGTGTTCGTTACAGTCATGTGTGTATGTATTCAGCTCTCTATTTCCACAAATTTAAACAAAATATTATACTAGTTTACTAAAACAAGTATAGCCTTATGTTAGACCAATAGAAAAAAAAAGCAATTAACAAAAAATAAAGATACGTACATATTTTGTAATGAACATATTTTTAATTTGACAAAGTATCATTCATAGTGCCTACAACGTGTTCTGTTAAACGAACCAAACAGATGAAAATATTATGAGTGCTTTAATAACACATGGAATCCTGTCTTTGCATTCCCAGGCCATCTAGAGACAAGACTTTCCCGCACCAATATGGCTGCGTCTATGTGCTGTCGTTAAGAAATGTAAATAGCAAAATATCTGAAACTCTTCTGAATATATTACACTGTTGCCTTATTTTTTCGTAATTATTTTCCACGTTTTTTGTGGTGTGCTATTATTCGTTCTTTAAAAAAACAAAAACGTCAGCAAACGTAACGTCCTCTGATTGGGCTGCAGGACTATCTTCCACTTGTTGAGTGACTGTTAGAGGGCATGCTTTTGCAACACACACACTGTAGCTACCTAACCTGTAATGTCAGTGGTTGGATTTTGGTAGAACACCATTTTAATTCAACAGGATAAACCAGATTTTTGTAAGATCAAAGTAACTGAAAGGTGGGATAACGGGAGTTTTTATCAGTAGCTACTTTCAGTTTTAGTCAACGTTAAAATTTGCCTAAAGCCTAGAGCCTTTTATGGCTCTTACAATATGAAAGACCCTGCCTTGACCCTGTTTTGTGGGAAACTCCGGCTGTTGCAGATATGTATCTGCATTCATCTGAACAATATATCGTTATATTGTCCCGATAACGATATAACCCTGAAGGTAAGCGCGTCATGGACTAAAGTAAAACAGTATGTTGGATGTGCCACGCAATGCTCAATTACATGTGTGGGAACTAGTGTGTTAGCGCAGTTAGCTCGTTAACGTGTTGGCCGTCTAGCCCCACGCACGGCGCGATCAGGGGTAGCTCGTTAACGGAGATTTGCCGTGTTGTGGCGTTAACGTCATTTCAACGATATTAACGCTGACAGCACTAGTGGGAACACAACGAATATGACTGCACATTTACGCCGACATCATCCTAGTGCAAAGACAAGTGGAAGCAGACAAAAACAACAAACATGCATGCTACAAACTTTACCCGAGTCATTTAGACAGCCGTTAGCACATGATTCTCCTTATGGGGAGGACCTAATATGTTTAATATTGTGGCGAGCTCAGACAAGGAGGAGACGGAGGTGTCGTTTGGTCTTGCTTCCCGTGAGCTAGCCAGGGAGCACAGCCGTTTATTGACATCTGCAGAAGAACACTGCCGCTAGCTAACTGCTCAGCGCGGCAACCGCACAGCAACAACACACAGTGCGCCCCCTGACCCCGGAAGGACACACCGTCGCAGCGAGAGGGCGTCACCCGTCACTATGGCAACATAAACAAAACATAACTGTACAAACAGAACCCCGAACAGCCCTGACCCGCTACAATATGCTGCTGAGAATATAGCCCAGAAGAAGCGTATAGTATAGCTTTTATTTTGGAAAGAGCCATTTCTCTGTAATAAACTCTCTTTTCCAAAGATGAGTGATTCCTCAATCAGATACAGGGCTCGCAAAAATTTTTCCAGTCGGGCTACCAAAATCTATCTCTGCCCTGCCCGTCGGGCTATTGTAGGAATCAAAATATATGTCAATGCTTTTGCATTCTTTCTGAAATGTAGCTGGGTAATTATGTCATTGGCATCGATGAGCCACTGTCAATATGTGACATATTGAAATCGCGTTTGAATTTGCGCTTGTTTTTTTGCTTTCACTTTGCAATCGCGCGAACTGTGTATAGAGAGCGACAGCACTGATCTGTGAGTGATGATAATTTGCGCACCAATTCCTCTGACATGGTCTTATCAATCGTTAGCTTACTATGCAAACATGACAAGTGAAATCTCCCGCAGCAAGCTTAAACATGTGAGAGGTTGATCGCGCAGAGAATCGCTGACCGTTATGTGTGTGTGTGTAAAATCAGCAGGATATATATTTTAGTTCTGCTGAGCCAAATAAGACAGGTCAGGGTGAAGTAGTGACAGCCAAAGAAAAGCTTACCACAAAATGTTATGACAAATCAGACTATAAGGCAAAAAGAAAGGCAACAAGAAAGTGCAGCTTTATGGTTTCATGGACAAAAGAATTTCTGTGGCTGCAATATGACGAGCTATATAACCAGGGGTGCACATAAGTGGTC